CGCTGCCATTCATTTCTCATGCGCTGAACGCGGGCGATTTGTACATCTGGTTCGTGAACGCGTATTTTCTCACGAGGTACGTCAATGATGATCGGAGACATTGGGGTGAGCTCGAACATTCGACTGATTTCCCATGATAGCACAGCCTTCCTCCCACTCCTCGGCCAGCTCTGCGATTTCTTCGGGCGTCGTTGGATGATGCTCATCGTTGTGGCTTTGTTCGCCCTCGGCAGCGGCATCAGCGGAGGCGCGAACAACGCTGCGACGTTGATTGGCGGCCGCGCGGTACAAGGTATAGGTGGCGGTGGCATCAACCTGCTCATTGAACTCATCGTCTCTGACCTCGTCCCGCTGCGCGAACGGGGTGCTTATTTTGGTATCGTCTTTGGCGTCTTCTCTTTGGGTACCGCCGTGGGGCCTCTTGTGGGTGGTGCGATTGTGGAGGGAACCAGTTGGCGATGGGTGAGTTTGAATTGTGCCTTGGCAAATACCACTGGACTGACCAGGGGTTTATCCTGCAGATTTTCTGGATCAACCTCCCCGTCGCTGGCGTCGCCCTCATACTCCACTTCCTGTTCCTACATGTCAACTATGACAGAGAAACGGCGATTCCGACGAAGCTGAAGCGTATCGATTATGCCGGTAACGCAATATTGGTAGCGAGTGTCGTGGCGGTGCTCCTGGCCTTGTCATGGGGAGGCACCAAGTATCCCTGGTCTTCGTATCGGGTTCTCGTCCCCCTCATCGTTGGCATATTCGGGCTGGCCCTCTTTCATATCTATGAAGGTATGCCTTGGGTTCGAGAGTATCCTACCCTCCCCGAGCGGGTTTTCAAGCGTCGCACACCTGCTACGGCACTGATAATCGGCTTCATCAACTTCATATGCCTCTTCTGGGTCATCTATTTCCTCCCTGTCTACTTCCAAGCCGTGCTAGGAATGTCTCCAACTCTTTCGGGAGTAGCGCTGCTGCCGACGGTTCTCCTCTCTGTAGTAACGGGCGCCGTCTCTGGTGTTTTGCTGTCGAAATGGGGAAGGTATAGACCGCTTCACATCCTCGCCTTTAGTCTCATAAGTCTGGGGCTTGGACTGTTCTCGCGCTTTGACCAGCACACGCACCCTGCCGAGTGGGTTCTGGTGCAAGCGGTAGCGGCGTTTGGGCTCGGAGTCATGATGTCCACCAATCTATCCTCGGTCCAAGCAGATCTTCCCGACAGCGATACTGCCGCGGCAACTGCCGCCTTTGCCTTCATGCGAGCCTACGGCTCTATCTGGGGTGTATCGGTCCCGGCTGCTATTTTCAATGCGCAGTTTGCTAAGCTGTCCTGGCGCATAGGCGATGCAGATATCCAGGCGCAGCTTAGCGGGGGCAACGCGTACTCGTTCGCGAACGCCAACTATGTCAGACGCTTCCCGCAGCCACAGCGTGACAGGGTCATCGACGTGTACGCGCAGAGTCTCAAACTAACTTGGCGCGTCTCACTTGGATTCGCGCTTCTCGGTTTTCTGCTCTGCTTCTTGCAGAAGGAGATTTCTCTTCGATCCACCATTGATACCGAGTTTGGATTGGAACAGAAAAAGCAAGAGACATATCCCGAGAGCCTTTCTGAGAAGGAGCCTGCCGCCTCTAGCGCAAAGAAGGAGAGGCTTTGACCATCTTCATTTATCTACCCGGTTTAAATATGCCACCGTCTATCATTGCTTTGGATACCGGTGGTGAGTTGTTGGTGCGGGCAATGGGGAATGCGTGCGGAAGCTGACAGAACTGGCCATCCGAAACTTGAGTCCGTCGCCGGTACTCCGTTTGCCCACAGGCGTGTCCATCACGTGATCACGCAGAAGGAGCATTACTAGAGCTTAGATCTTTTGCCATATAACTGAACTGATAGAAATACGAATCAATATATTTTAATAGAAAGCCCTTTGTTATTGTATGGATGTTTTAGTTTTGGTTGTTGTCTTGCCCTGTTTGTTTGAGGGTCGCATTAAAACCCCATTTCACCTCCGTAACAGGAAGTAGAAAATATAGTTATATAAAACCAAGTAAACCAAAACAATATGCTTATAAAATGGCTATAAAGTGTTTATGGCATGTTGCTTAATATATTTTCAAGTTTTTATTCTCTATGTTACGAAATAAAAATGGGAGTTACGGGGATAGTATGGTATCCTAGTAAGAAGCGTGTGGTTTGCGGTTTTCAAGATCTAAAAAACCCCTATTCTCACTTGCTTATCGCTTTCAGTTGAGGGTTTGGAAATAGCTTCAGATGACAACTATGACTACCATTGACCCTGAAATCCTCCATTCGGATCCCTTCCGGCCTTGGTGTATGCTATGTGTACACTAGTAGTCCCTTAGTTGCGGGGCGCAACGCGCTGTCATGTCCACTGAATTGTAAGCAGCCTGGGTTTTGGCTGTCATACAGTCAACTTGCCAACAGTTCTGTCAAGCGCCCGTTGCGTATATAGTATACACAGTGCCGAGTATGAGGATTAACACCTTGTGTCGTTGACGATGATCCACTTCGACTCGTCAAGGCAGTCATTTCTGCGGCGAGCCTGCGATCGCTGTCATCAATCTAAGCTGAAATGCTCTAAAGATATTGACCAAGAGAAGTGTCAACGCTGTCTTCGTGCTGATGTAGATTGTACTTTCAGCCCCCCGGCGTCGGCACCACGCCGCCAGCAGGGGTCTATAGGTACGTGTTGGATGTTTTATTTGGATGATTTATTTGCCCCTTGCGGGCAATTCAGTAACTCTCTTCAACAATGTACAACTCCCATTCAATATGATCTGACCATAGTTCTCTAGCCACACTACCCACCAGCGATAATCAATACCAGGGTAGAGAGTTGGCTTCCCTAGCCGACCGTGATGATGTCGTCTCTTCAACTCTGGTTACCCAAAGTGCATTGCACGACTTGATCAACAATCCTAAGGCAGCTGAGGGCGATATATCCATGGATTTAGATGGATGCGAAAATCTCCCCCTTCTAGCTCAACCAGCTCAAGAGCGCCTCCCAACCCAGGAGCCTGGTCATGTCAGGCAGTCGTCCGACCACCCAGCACAGCATCCTTGGTCCAGCTCCCATCCATCCATGGTGCACTCATCACCAAACTTAGCCGTTGGTACCGATTCGAATAACAGAAAGAACTTCCTAGGAGAACCCGAACACCGTGTAAGAGAAGCAGGGCATACCCGTACGCTGTGGCTGCGAAAGATAGCGGATCTTAACGTCACTTTGACCGAGCACTTGGACTCATCTTTCAATAACAACGTCTCTTACGAATGTGCGAATAGAGGACAGAAAGAAGAAACGAAACCTACTTTCTCTCTAGATCAGGCGTTTCGGCTTTCTCAGCTTTTCATAGATATCCTTTGCGACATTTGCTCGAATCTGCCTACGTCCGACAAAGGAGCGGATCAAGCAACAGACAAACCTCGCTCAGGTTCTTTCCAATTAGACCCATCCGCCGAGCTTCTGATATTTTCGGCTTATCTCCGCCTTCTAGAGACCTACAACCGCATTCTTGAATCTATTCAAGTAGCGGCGAGGTAGAGTCATCTCGAGCATGCAACTACACGGCCTTTTCAGCTTCCGAGTCTGATGGTTGGATCGTTCGAGCTTCCACTCGACTCCAATACGCAATATTTAGTCTTGCTCAATCTCACTGAGACAATGGCAATGAAAGCTAAGGGGCTCATCAAAGAGATGTCGTCCCCCAAGATCACCCGTGGATATAGAGGTGATTTCCAATCTTTCGGGGGTGTTTCGCTGGTCATCGTTCCGGACCTAGCTTTGAGCGCTATTCGCGCCCGCGAAGATGCTTTATTCCGTATGATCCATGAATTGAAGAACTTAATCTCGTAGGGTCGCCGTTCAGCTAGGGGACACTGGAAAAGTCAAACGGGTTATCATAAGGGCAGTAGTATGGGCTTGGAGAGTGACCCTATTTAAACAATGATCTTGAGAGGGCACTTGTTCTTGACCAGTCAGAAGTCCTTGACCCTCCCTAGGAAAACCGAGTCTCGAATAAGCGAGGGCTGAACAGCCTCACTTAAGATACACATTTAATACCCTAATGCTGAAGGCCGAGACCCAATGCTACGTGTGAAACGGTGTCTTAGTTGCATGGATTTTTGTTATATAAGCTGACAAAAACGGTTACAAGGGGCTTGCACCTTCTATCTCATTAGATATCAATCACAGATGGTAAACGGCACGAATGTTGAAGCGTCCAGCAATTTTGCATCTCACAGTCCACCGATTCCCAGTAGAACGCGAGCTCGCGACATCGCCATTCCTACATTCAATCCTATATCCGGTACATGATCAGGTCGCTTGATTTTTGATCGGTGTTAGTACGCCAAGTAGTAGTGATTGTCCGCTAGATCTATGGCCACTATCTACATCCATAGAAGCTACGGAGGTTATCATTTAAGAAAGAAAAGGAATTGTCAACAACCACAATACATATTCAACGTGATATTCTATGCCTGAATGTGATTGCCTCTAGCGGGGGATAAAAAAAACATGGCAAAAAGGCAAGTCACCGACCAGGGCCTGATTCGAACAGACGCTCCCGAAGGAATAGCAAATGCAATCTTGTTGGGGGTCGGGCGCTTCAACATTCGTGCCGTCTAGAGGGTGATGGCGAAAGCTGTTGTTGAATTCGTTGCTCATTAGGGACGTTGTAAAGGTGGCACGCCTGTGATGACAGCTCCAATAGTGTTCCGTACTTGTACTACTCTCTCGCTAGCATAGTAGTTTTAGCTAGATCTCATTGGCCGCATGTGAACCGCCCACACATAGAATTTAATAGCTCACTTATTTTCGTCACTGGTAAAGTAGTTATATATGTACAGAGTTTAGGGTAGTTTTGTGATACGGATTACACTACAGACGTTCTTGACATGTCCCCACCCGAATTTTCATCTAGGGGGTTAAGTTTAATTAAACCCCGACGCACCAATCAAGTGAATACATTTACTGGATAACGGCCAGGTGGCGGAGTGGTTATCGCGCAGCACTCGAATTAAGCTACTCTATAGTTGTCGACATGCTGTTCCCTCGGGAGCGTCTGTTCGAATCAGGCCCTGGTCGAATACCATTTTTATGCGCCACGCTGTCTATGGTTTCAATGTGTAGTAGTCTTCCTAGACTGGTCGGCATATATTTTTACTCATAAGTTTTAGGCCAGTGTACTGTGGTAATGTGACCTACCTTGTACAATGTCTATACATGGGAATGGAGTATATCTACCTCTTTACATATAGTCATGTGATTGGTGCGTTTAGGGTTTATTGTCAGTCTATTCTTTGCAAACTTTTGTGAGGAGCTTGGGTATCGGAAAGGGATGATAGCTTTGCTTAGTATTACCGGAGGTATGGTCCGTAACAGTTCTGCACAATACATTGTACATAAAAGCTAAACCTTGCCAAATGCATAATTGGCCTCGTGATGATTACCTACTTTGGAGTGAACGTTATCATGAGGGGATCGATGAGTCTGTTTTACTGCAGGTTCTGCTATAAACCAATGGACGCCCAATTTTAAATTTTTTTAAATAGTTTATTTCATAACTGGAGCGGCGCCGTCGTTCGTACATTGAGTATATTTGCTATGGAGATATTCAGAATGATAACGTTGTTTGTTCCCCCTGCTTTTTAACGCTGTCGCTAAGACTATGTCTGAGAGGGAGAGTGAAATATTTTTACGTCGAGGTCTTTTTCACTTATTGAAATATACTCCACGGGTTTATTACCTGGAATTATAAATGTAACCTTTCATCAGCTACGATAACCGTCCATAGCAGTCACCAAAGCCCTGACCGAGACAGGGCGACCTATTGAACCTCAACCGCTAAGCATCCATGGCTAGAGTAGTTAAAAGAGTATAAATCGTTGTTATTCATCAGGGTATGAAGTAATTAAGTGTCTTCAGAGTCAGTCAAGGATGGCTCTTGTGTCGACTGTGCAGCTCATAAGATTCGTGGCCCAAACACTGAAACAAAGGCTATTCATAAAATAACCGTCAACACCGAGGATTTATGACATCTCATCCAATTGTCAATTGACTACATTTCAAATATTATAAAAGGGCTGTAAGGGATTTAAATAATACCTTTCTCAATTCGCCATAGTTAATCATGGTGTAACGCTAACGACATGAGAAACTACCTTCCGGTTCACCGAAAACCAATTCCGTGTCAAACCTCCAAGCAAATCCGATTCTAAAGTGTATTAGTGCCCCATCCTCGTTGCTGTAAGTTGTGCACAACTACCCAGGAGAGCTCGGCAATATATTTATTAAAATAGTCGTCCCATGATTCAACGATCAATCCAGTGACTCCAGCAAGCTGTAGTCTGTGAACACTGGCTCTTGCGGCTGCTCTGGATTGAAAAGCTCATTGATATCATCCATATTAAGAGCGAGGTCGCGCGCCAGCGCGGAGAGCTGTGGCGGTAGACGTAGGTATCCTTCGTCTCTACCATTTCTGGCGATTCGCATAAAGCTGACCCAGGGAATAACGGCGGATTGGCTCTTATGGGGAGGATCTAGGCAAGCTCATACTGGTGGCTGCGTTCTCTCCAGAACATTTGATTACAAAGCATTTGTTGAAGCATGTGGCAAATAATGCACCAATTGACTATTCTATCCTCGTATTTAAGCAGGGTGTTGTTGTAAGATATATCGTAGAGACTGTGTGGTAACGTGCGGTAGCTTATTTGACAGGCTAGAGTCAATAACTACCATAAGAAGTAGTGATTCGGCTCATGTCTCCCGAACATAAAGAAGCAACGAGGCCCAAAAATTGCTGAAAGATGAAAATAATGACTCAGGGACTAACCTTGAGTTGTCGGCACGATACACATGGTCGACGGCTATTATGATCGTTTCAATGTTGCGGAGTCGGCCATGGACAGACGTGAGAGTCTCCTTCATCTCCCGCATGCAACCAGTTCAATTGACAGCGACTGTAGTTTGTGTTACCTGTTGGAGTAGATATGTCTAGTAAAGCTCAAGCTCCTCCAATGTGTCCGAATCGAAGTAAACAACGATCTTTGGCTCTCTAGGTGTTTTTTTTTAATCGAAATTATTACCGCGTGAGAGATATTCCAGAGTATACGCGCTACTTCCCCGAGATCTATCTGGAGCTACAGCGAGAGGGGTCTGTTCATAGACTTCTATTTCTCTCCAACTATGTCCTCGGCAATGAAACGGAGACGAAATATTCTGGCATATTCGATACCGGTATTGTTAATTTGAAGGACTATATCGTCCATTTCGTCGTTGATATCAGCGCTTAAAGGCTCAATGCCAGTGCAAACAATCGAGTCCTTTCGGAAACGTGTCAGGTCATAGTAACCGAAGCATCAAAACTTGTCATAGTCCTATTCAGTTTGAGAGAAATGCTTACCAGGACCAAGAGGAAGAATCATTTGCCTAGAAGTTCCTGCATGGAGAGAATAAAGCTAAGCTATAGACGTAGCAACACAGAGCAAGCGAAAAGGGCTGAACAAGGCTCCGTAACCTTCGGCGAGCTGTATATGGTGTTCTTCACAATAAGCAAGACCCCTGCATCACGACCACCCCCCATCACGACCAGGCCCTTGGCATCACCACACCCACAACTTCTAAAGCTATTTACACCACTAATATGTTGTTTTGAAGCCGTTTTTTGATGTTCTCATTAGATTCTAGCGTTTATAACCTCTATAACCTCTTCTGTTTCCGTATCTTCGCGTTCTGGGACGTTCTTATCGGCGGCTTCGTCTACATATACAATTCTTCGGCGCAATTTGCGCTTTGCCTTTCGTACGTGCGTCATACGAGTAAACAACTCGTGAGGCGCTATTTTAACCGCCTTACGCTTGCTTTTATTGTTTTTTTTAAGCTTGGCTTTTAGAACTGCGACCTTTGCTTCCAAAAATGCAATAGTTTGAGCTTTTTGATCTAAAGCTTTATTAGCCTTCGCAGAAAACAGCTTTTGCGATAAATTATTAAATAAAAAATAAGTAGCTGCTAGCTTTTGCGTATTAGTTTGCAATTGTTGGCTTTTAAAAGGTGTTTTTATAATAATTTTAAAAGTTATCGTTAAAAAATTAGGTATAACGGGTTGTTTTTTTGCTGTAAGTATTAGTGCTACTGCTTTTGTAATACCTTTTTTTTTAAACATTATATATTTTAAAAATAGCGGTACCTAGCGATTTTTTAAATATATTTCAGCTGTTGCCTAGGCTTTTGTTATAGTTTTTAGCTTTAAAATGTCTTTGCAAGCCACTTTATACATTATTACCATGTTTTTTTTAAAAGGCCTTAAGCTAAGGCGCTTTGCAGGCGTTTTTTAAAGCTTATTTTTTAACTTTTTTTTTAACAATTTAAAAACTTTAACATTTAATAGCTATAGTATATAACTGTAATAAAGTTTATAAAATAAAAGCTAAATTTTATTTAAAAAGCAAATTTAAAAAAACTTATTGTTTATATGAGATTTATAGCCATTATATATTAAAACACACTATATTTTACTAAAACAAGCGTAAATATAAGGAATAAACAGGTTTTTTAGCCACTTTAACGCAATAATATTGCTAGTTTATCTATTAAAAAAGCAGTTAAAACGCTAATCTTTAAACAAACTGCGATTTTTATCCAAAAACTACTAATTTTAAATTTAAACGCTTTTTTAAATCAGCAACGGCGGTAAGGCTTTGCCAGTGGCGCTAATACACTTAAAGGCAGTAATTCATTTGCCTTTTTTAATAGCTTTTTTAAAAGTCTAGCGTATAAAGGTATTAATAATCACAAAATAATTACCGCTAACGCTTTAAGCTATGCCTATCTTGTCGGCATTAAAAAAGCGTTTTAAAAAAATATTTGCTGTTTTTAAGGCCTTAAAACAATTGAAAAAAATGTTAATATTAACCGCTATTGCGCTGTTAACGCGCGCATAATCGACAGATTTAGATCTAGCAGACTTAACTGCTTTGTTTCGAGCTAAAAACCAGGCATGCCACTCTTTGCCAAGGCTTCTATCCGTGCCGAAAGCCTTTAGTATACATTCGGCCATAAGTTTAAAAGTAATATGTAATGGCGCAAAGCCTAGCCTAGCTTGCCCTATGGCCCAGTCTGCTAACTGGCGCTTATTATAAGCAAACAAGGCTTAAAGGTTAGCGTAGGCTTTTTTTCGAGTAGGAATACCGCGAAGCCGGCGGCGTAGATACGATCTATCAACACCCCAGTCGCGCGCTGCTTTCGCAACTGGAGTTCCAAGCTGAGCTGCGCGAAGGGCAGCCGCCGCGCGGTGTTAATCAGAATAAAAAGGCATGGCGATAAAGAGCAGTCAATTCTGAAGAGAATAAAGGTAGAAGATCATCGTGAGACCTAAACGCGGTCGCGTTATTAATTAGAGTGGCTGGGAGTAATAGCGCATTTGCGGGGGTCCCTGGCCCTGGTCGCGATGGGGGGTGGTCGTGATGCAGGGGTCTTGCTTATTCTTTAACCCAAAATGACGATTCTGCTACTCTTTCTACCGCAGTGGCTGGTGATTCAATAGAAAGACGACTTCTGGCTTCGTAAGAGTTGTGGCCTGTATGTTTGATCACCGCGAACCACGGCACCAGCGTAAGCTTGCTTGCAACGCTGACAAGCAGATTGCACCTTTTAGGATGCATCTGCTTGAAATACAATGTTGGCAAATACACAACTTTATTTGGCGTTAGTGAAACCTTCTGCCGATATAGAATTCAGCAACGCTAGTTCATGTTGGAGAATTTCCTCGTATCGTACGGCTCACGTTCAAGCTGGAGGAAAGAGCTGAGTAAGTAGCCAACAACGGCGCAAAATTCCGAGGCAAAAACGGATGAGGTTAGAGATTCGAACTTGATTGCCACTTTGGATTATTACAGATTACTATGGAAAAGCAAATCATATCGTTAATAATAATCGCAATAGCTGAGCCCAGTGTAAATCCAGGTCAGTGTCGCTGTCTCTAGCTTTGGAAGTTCATACGATCCGGCGGAGAGAAGGCTATTGTCTACCACGCTATGTAGCGACTTCTCGAACACTCTCTTCAAATCTCGAACCCTATACATTCTGAT